ATAAAAGCTTGCCAAAATCTTAGCCAACTTCATCAATAGGGATGAGTGATTCCTACCACCCATCAATGCTGCCATTTCTGGGCTTGTCCTTCTGAGCACTCAAAAACCTTGAGTTGGAGCTCATACAGCTTTCAGGACCTTGTCCCATCCTCCTCTTTATGTTTTCAACATGGCACCATGTTCATTGACCTAGTATGGCTATAATACAATCTTGAGATCATGGCATGCACAATTTAATCATGGCTCCACCATCAAAATCGACTTGGGCAAGGCAAACACACTTAGCCTCAGAATCTGTAAGAGATTCACCTTTGTTGCTGTTGTGTGCCTTCAAGTCATTTCCAACTTACATTGCTCCTAAGGTGAACCTATCATGAGGTTTTCTGGAGGTGAGAGTGTGTGACTCACCATAGCTGAGCATGGAATCAAACCCTGATCTCCAGAGTCCTATGCTCGAACCACTACACCATGCTGGGGCCTTTGGGTCACCATAAGTCAGAAAGTACTTGAAGGCATACAACAACAAACACCAGAGCACTGGCAAATCACGACAGAAAAAGCAATGCAGTGGGCCACCATACTGAAATTCTAGTCATGCCAACAATTTGTCTCTCTGTCTTTTGTTTTATGTTTGTTTGTTTGTTTTGTGGTGTTTCTTTTATACACAGGACACTGATGAAACACTACACTAAAATCACTTATATGCAAGCATACATGATCATTTTAGACTCTGGGTTTAAGGGCAAGAAGGAGGTGTACAGCTTAGGAATGGGAACAATGTCATTGTGCTTGGGATGTACATCTTTGTTAATGGATTTATGTATGCACAAATTGAACTGAATAGTTTTGCAACATTTATATTTACCTGGGGCCTGCTGTGATGTTACGAGGTATGGGCATCTGCTATCCAATGGTTGAGGGACTGAAACACCTGGACCGATGTGTATCTGGACACCAGCTAAGAAGTGCTGGAACACAACAGGAGCACCCAATGAGCATCAGAAGTGCCCAATGCATACTGGAACACTCTTGCCAGTGTCCAGATGCACATCTTCACAATACACTAACAGAGTTTTGTTATGTTTCCACAACGTAGTTACAGATCCATAAAGTTACAAAAGGTATACTGTGCTCTAGAATCCCAATCATTATTCATGACAATTCCATGACACAATTCATGACACTTGGGAAACCCCTTCCAAGAATAAATTAGCAGCAAAGCATCTTCCCACTTTACAAAGTCTCATATCATTCTGTGTATTAATACCTCTAGGTTTTCTGCACCAAAAGAAATGAGGGACACTGTGAAAGAAACAGAAAACATTGTCTCCTCTGCAGGGATGTAGACAACTCATGTTTTCAACAAAAAAAAAATATGCATGTATTTCTGCATAGAATAATCCCCACTATGGCATTGCAAAATGCAAATACTGTTCTAGATCTGCACAGAAATTTTTGTTTTTAATCTTGCCCTGGAGAGAATATTATGGAAACTATTTATCACACCATATGGGAATAAGGAATGGCAAGAGTTTCCTCATTGGTACTACTACATTTCCTTTAAAATTAAAATGTGGTTAGCCAGCCCAGCCATATCTGAGAACTCTCTGACACATTCTGATAAAAGGACCCCTGGATAACTTACCCAGAAGTCCTACTTAAAGAATGTTTCTTTGCCATTTTTGATCAGTTTGAACAAGTGTATCAATAGTTCAAGAACGAGAAGTGATTCAGAAGGAGCTGAACACTTCAGCTAATGGTTCATGTGCCCTACAAAATTCAAAAACAAACCCTAAAATGAATGGGAATGCATCTAAAGAAGAGTCATTCAGCATTCCCAAAATCTGGGGTGGGGTTTTAGGATGAGGGTGGATTTGGATGAGATGATTTTCAGAAGGACCAGTCTTCAGAAATGGCTGAAGAGAAGCAAGGTTAGGATTTGGTGAGCCATTAAGACTTTGGACATGATCCACAACACCTCCCAGGGCTGTCCCAATGAAATGAATGGATGTGCTCTCAGGAAGTTCCCATTCCTTTCCATGAAGCTCACTCAGGAGGACTGGATTTTATAGAAACTAACAAGGAAGGGAGGTGACCTATTGCATTGTGGTTTCCACCACCAATATGTCTGGGCTTGTAGGCCAACTTGCAATGGAGGATGGACCCTTTGCTTAACAGGTCACACCAGTCTTCCTGAATCCCTAGCTCCAAGTCAACAGCTAACAGCGATAGTTTGAGCAGCTAACTTTCAGAAAGTCCTTCATTCCTTTAGAATGGAATTCCCATTTCTTCCAATGAAATAAAAATGAAATAGAAATGATTTTCTTCCTTTCCCCTTCCTTGTTTGAAATGGTCATAGACTACTTCAATACACTGATCAATACTTCCCCCTTTCCCCCATTTTCTTTAGCTGCGTATGGCTGTATGACGTGTATATTTATATATTCTGTATTTATGTTACCAAAATGTAGTATTTTGTAGCTGTTCCGGTTTGTTTAACTTGTAAAATAATTAATAATATTAATAATAATAATTCTTAATATGGTCTCCCATTCCTAGGCAGTTCTGCCTTTCAAACTTAGTCCCTAACCCTTTGACTCTCCCCAGCTTCTTCTTTCAAACTGTGTTGGCGACTTGCACCAATCTCAAGGATGTCGATCGAACTCCCCCCCTTTTTTTCCTCCTCTAATTTAAATGACTTGCCATTTCTTAAATTATTTATTAGTATCGTTGTTGGGTTTTATTCTTTGGTTGTCACATTTTCACAGCATTGGGTTATAATTTTTTTTTTTTGGTTTTGCTAAAAAAAATAATAATTTTTTCTGCTACTTTTAACCAGCAGTTCAAACAATGTGATTCTCAGATCTTGTGTGTTGTCAGTTTTTTTTCCTATGAAAGAGAATGAAAGAGAGAAAGAAAGAACACTTCAGTATATTTGTAAATAAAAGCTACCTGTAAATGAAATGAGATGTATCTTTTGATTTTTTTTTCAAAAGTCCCCTCAAATTATGGGTATCTCCTACTGGGTTGCTTTGGGAAACATCATACAAAAACCACATTTGAGCTTCTAGATCAGCTAGTTACTTAACTACCTTAGGATGAATCCTGGCTGATTAAAAGGATCAGAAAGTCCCAGAGTTTGTCCCTGTTCTTTCTGATTTTATTTTGGAGATCCATACATGGTTTGTTTGTGCCAGAATATCTTTTGTGCTATCAGAGACTTTTTAATACCAGCTCCCCAAGTCAGTTTCTTTTAACCCGATAGAAAATCAGAAAGAACAAGAATAAAATCTAGGATTTTTTCCAATCAGTTTGGATATGCTTGGCATTGCATATCTAAGCATCATCTCCTGACTTGACCTCCTTCCTGCAAAATACCTGCTTTACCAGGCAGCAAATGCAGTAGAAATGGGATATTTTTCATCCTTTTGATCAGAAAGCAGCAGACCGGTGTTTCCAGCTCCTTCCCACAAGTAATTTCCAGTGCAAGGAGGAATTTTGACAGAGATCCTGTATCAAAATATTGCACTGGTCACAGGTGAGAATGAATCCCGATGGACAGGAGAACAGATCCTTGTTGCTCTCAGCAGCTGCATCCCTGCACAATTTGGGGAATTTTATGGTCCCTTTGTATTCCCTTCACTATTGAATATTTTTATTTCAAGAATTTATATCCTGCCTTTCTCCCACAATGGGATTCAAGGCAGGAATACATAGGGATAGTGAATTTAGGCAAGAATGCATGTCAAGACTGGTTTGAAAGGATCTTGCCAGAACCTCAGAGGTTTGGAAGGAGAGAATTTGGAAAGGCTTGCATGAGGGAAAGGCCAACTTTATGTCTGGCTTCTCTTCCAGGGTATTTAAACACTTCTTGATCAGCAGCCATCAAAATCATGGCTAGAATCATGTTGGTGTCTTGCACATAAAGTCCGCTATAAAAGGGGATGGATAATTTATGGCTGATGTAGAATGGCCATATTCAGTTCAAAGCAAAGGAAGCAGAGCTGTGCATGTGGTGCTATTGCACATGACTGCATATTGTAATCCTATGTGCATAGTTATGGTCATGAATTGAGCATCATTGTGTAATGCAGATCCAGAGACATATTGGCCAGTGCAACACTGGAATTCTCTAGCAAGGCAGCGTTGTGAAACTGTTGTGTAAACCCTGTGAATTTAGAGTTTGTCTCCCACCTTTTCCACACTGCAGAAATAAAGAAGTTTGACATAACTTTAACCGTCATAGCCCCATCCTGTGGAATTTGGGGTTTGTAGTTTGGTGGGGCATTCTGCTTGGTCTGTCAGAGAGTGCTGGTGCCACACCAGACTACAAATCCCAGGATTCTGTAGGATAGAATCATGACAAAGTGGTCTCAAACTGCTTTATTTCTGCAGGGTGGATTCCTCCTCCATCTCCACATTGGAGGTTGTTGGCCCATAATATTAAATCGTCTAATGCCATCCTGTTTATTTAGATTTTTCTCTGATAAGCTGACAGCTTGGATGATACACAATGAAACATCTCTCCTTGCAAACAAGAAACAAAAGGAAGGTCCAATGATGATTAATCCTAGACTTCCTGCATTGGTCTGAGGTGTGTGTGTGTGTGTGTTTTGATGTCACCGAGTTGAGAATGAAGACTGATTTATACCCTACAGCTGTACTGAACAAAAGGAGAGCGAAAGCAAAAAGAGAGAATGCAATTAAAGAGAGAAATGTCTGGAGGTAAGAGAAATACTGCAAAGTCTAAGACAATGCATCTGGGTATGTCATTCCTTTACTGCCTCTTGCATTCTGGACACCTAGGAAAATCAGGTTGTTGTTGTTGTTGTTGTTGTTGTTGTTTTAATGAGATGAGGTTAAATTGTTGTTTGAATTGTCAAATTGAAGATTGGTCTTGATCTTTTGGATGTGCATCTTCATTCCTAGGATATTCATCACACCATCCCTTCCTTTTTATCAGACCACTTTTTGGTGTTTAGAGGAAGACCTGAAACAAGGGGCTAAGCAGGGATTCAAACCCTGGTCTCCAGAGTTGTAGTCCAATGCCCAACCCACTACACCACACTGGCAATTCAAGTAGATCTATTGAATCAACTGATGAATGGTGAGCCTGATGCAATGGCTTTACTCTAGTCAGGATTAATAAGAGGACCTGAAATCTTAGATAACCATGGTGATGCATGTGAGAACATATAGAATAAGCATTGTGTAGTGGTTTGAGCATTGGACAATGACCCTAGAGACCAGGGTTCAAATCCCTGCTCAGTCATGGAAACTCACTGGGTGACCATAGACAAGTCACACTCTCTTGGCCTCAGAGGAACCTTCTGTGAACAAATCTTGCCAAGACAACCCCGTGATAGCTTCACCATAAGTCAGAAATGACTTGAAGGCACACAACAACGACAACCAAGGTTAACATGTGCATGGATAGCACACAATAGTAATAGCAAGTACATTTCTATACTGCTTCTCAGTGCACTTAAGTACTCCCTAAGCAGTTTACAATGTGTAAGCCAACTACCACCAACAAGCTGGGTACTCATTTTGGTGAACTCAGAAGGATTCAAGGCTGAGTCGACCCTGAGCCCCTGGCTGGTATTGAACTCACAACCTTGTGGTTTATGAGTGAGTGTCTGCAGTACAGCCATTTAACCACTGTGCCACCAGGGCTCAGTGAACAAGTGCAAGGGGCTGTTCTCTAACTTTTTCTGCCCCTTCTGATTCTCCACCCCTCCTGCACCTAATAAGCTGTGAGGGACTACTGCTGCTGCTATTTATTGGAGAGAGGTGAAGTTGAAGGCAACAGCGGCACTGCAGAAGACAATGCAGCAGCTGGTCTAGGCTGCAGTGGGAAAGGAAATGAGGTCATGATCTACCTGGGAGATCTTCCCTTCACAGCCCAAAGCAGCTACTGCTTCATCTTCTGAACTGCCTCTCTTTCTGCCTCCCTTACCAGGCTAATAAACAGCAGCAGCAGCAGCAGCAGCAGAAACCAAGGGTTTGACATTTGCTGGGGTTAAGGAGGGCACTGAACTGTGCAAATGAAGCATTGCATTCCATCCGCTGGATTCAGGATCTCAGCCAGGATTTAGGCATAGGGGGTTTGGGCCTTTCAGTTCTGGAATCCCTTTATTCCATGATGGGCAACCTTGCCAGCATGTCACAGCAAAGCACAGGAGCATTGCCAGATCCTGGAGCACACTGTTGCCACACGCTCCCACCAATCGAGGAACACCTGACCTGAGTTTTGTTCTGCTTTAGGGAAGTCAAAACACCTGGGCCCCCGTGTCATCCAAGAGCAAGTTTTCCAGCGTTGCTTGGGATAATTACCAAGTAAGGAACGTGACGTTTGCATGAAATGCATTCGGCTTTTGTATACACCCTCCTCAACGGCCTCCCCCCCCCCCCCGTTTGTCTTGGATATCTGTCTCTGCAAGTTGCAGATGTGATTATTAATCTGGCATTCCTTCCATCCCATCTGACATCTGACAATGCTCACTCAAAAATCCAGCTCAAGCGCTGGGGATAATCGGTCTCACCGTTGGGAGCTAAGAGAGCTCTTATGAGAGGAATGAGTTATGGATGCTCTGATCATCTGAGTGTGATCCATGGCGTAGGCAACACCATCTTTCACACCTGTGTTGTCAGATCCCTATCAAGAAAGGTGCCGATAAAAGGCCTCGCAGCAGCAACTCTTCCCTCACAAGCTGACATTCCTTTCATCTTGCTCTCGGCCTTCAGCTGTAGCCAAGGCTTTTTTAAAAAAATAAAATAAAATAATAGATTGAGTAACCTGTCAGAGAATGAACGGGTG